GTTATATCAATAACTTCCATGTCAACAATATGTAAAATAATTTTCAAGTCCGATGAATCAAATTTTTGTGTATTAGTGTAAAAATTGTGTAAATGGATTTCGTGTACTTGACCCAGCGTAACTATAGAACTAATGAAGTTCAATAAATTAATATTCAAGGTCTAATATTAACATGCTCATTCATTGATTAGGATTTTTGCATTATTTTTTGTCGACTCATTTCTTTTCGTTAAGTAATAATAATAATGACTTGACTTTATTAAAGATGTATTGGCTATATAGTCAATCTCAAAAGTTTATGCACTTTAGAAATGCATTTTTGTGATCAAAAATTTTGTTATCTAATATAGTGATTTAAATTAATAAAAAAGTATTACAAGGTAAGATCCACTTGCGGGTATTACTGCTGTCGTACGTACTTTTACTGCCCGTTAACTACTGTGTGCCTATTACTGCGGATTGTAAAAGATACATTTTAAATCATTATGATTTTCGACTTGCTTTAGAAATGCAAACTGATTAGACGCATAAATTATTATAAAAAATGAATAAAACATAATAAATTAAATTGCAAAATTTAGACTTTGCTGCTTCTTCTTTTACGACGCATTGCATTTAATTTAAGTAGGTCCACACACATGTAGCAGTTTGTAAGTAGATAATACTGCGAATCGAAATTAATGTTGAAAATTAATGCTAAATAAATTTTTAAAAGTATGTTATTAAAAACGAAAGTCTGTTCTATACTAATACAGCTACTTTTGATAAAAAATTTTAGTTTTTAAGGTAAAGATGTTTTTTAAATATAATTAGTCATACTTAAAATATTTTATAGTGTATTGAAATATAATATATGGGTCATAAATAGTTTCTAATGATTTTATAAGTATCAACAGTAACTAACACATCCGCAGTAACACCTACATCTACCCGATCTACCCTTCTTATCCAATTGAATAAAAGCTCGATTTAGACATAGTAGCGCTATCTAATGGCGTGATCGTAGAATTAAACGACAAGTGCCACAATAGGGAAATCCAAATTTCTCAAATATTATACGCAAGGGGCATCAAATACATAAATGATTGTATTTCCAAGATTCGAGTCTTCATTTGTTCAGAGATTGTTCTAGAGTCTTTCGGTCTTTTTCCTAACTGATTTTGGAACGATTTTCAACGACTGTTCTAAAATATTATCATTATTATCGAAACTGACACTTTAGGGATGAATTCATACATGACCTAGGTCATCCAACAAAGCGATTATCGATAATTAAGGAGTACTTCAGGTGTAATTAGTAGTAAAATAGGTTATTACCGAATTGGACAAGTTCCGTCAGCATCTTGATTGGCTCAGGCCCGCGGAACTTGTCCAATATTAACCCAATGAATACCCTGACACTATTTGCAAAAAGAGAAATTGACATTAAGATCCATACGAAATCGAAAACGGTTACGAATCCGTAGGTTTTTCGAACACGCACCCTGAGAGAATTGGTTTCATCCCCGTACCGTCGAGTGCTCGATGAAATTTCGGCGCATAAAGTGGCTGGAATTGAAAGTGGTGGTTCGGCATCGATAAACGCTGTGGTCGTGGTGACTTCCTTCGCGTTACGCGTAGGCGCAACGAACACGTCTCGGTTATATTTCGCGCCCAAACATATTACGCTAACGCAAGACAAACTTGTTGCAGATTAATGTCAGGCATTGCGATTGCTAGGCTCGCGGAAGAGCGTAAAGCATGGAGGAAAGATCATCCTTTCGTAAGATATACACTTTCGAAACACGCTACTTTTCGTTGAACCTACGATTTCGATCTTGTTTCTCAATAACGTTTCTCGAACATTCGTGTAAACAATGTCTCGTTGAAAAATTGATATCACTCTTTAAAACGCTATTCCGATAGAACGACGATCTCCAATTGGATTTACAGTTTATTTCTTATTGAATCGTTTGATTACTTACGCATTCTAACCTTCTGTAACTGCTACCCGTGTTTGAAACTCGAAATACACGTTGACTATCTTCTTTACAGGGATTTGTGGCACGGCCGGTAAAAAATCCAGATGGTACTCTTAATTTGATGAGTTGGGAATGTGCGATACCGGGAAAGAAATCCGTGAGTCACAGTGCATATAGTATTCTGACTGTCGTTGTCGTTCGCGGAATTTATTTAAATATCAAACATTTTTCAGACACCATGGGAAGGTGGGTTATACAAGTTGCGTATGATTTTCAAGGATGATTATCCTTCCAGCCCACCGAAATGTAAATTCGAACCTCCCTTGTTCCATCCCAATGTCTACCCTTCAGGAACAGTGTGTTTGTCACTTCTGGACGAAGAAAAAGATTGGAGGCCTGCAATTACTATAAAGCAGATCCTACTTGGTATACAAGATTTGTTGAACGAACCTAACGTGAAAGATCCTGCTCAAGCAGAAGCTTATACAATATACTGGTATTGTATTTGCCTTATAAAATTGCAATTTGGAATTGCGTTTTAAAGAATAATATGACGATGTTACATTTTGATTGCAGTCAGAATCGTTTGGAGTATGAAAAGCGTGTCAGGGCCCAAGCTAGGGCAATGGCACCGCAGGAATAAATGCAAAGTCCTATGGATTCAAATATTCCAATTATATAACGAAGTTAATGTATATCTATAGTATGTATTCTAATAATAATCTACATTTCTTATCTTTTTTATAAGTGAAACTAGCATATGATGTATGTAGCTGTTATCTGCATTTTCGTTATTTGCCGCAAAATTCGTGTATGCCCATAGAAAAATCCTGTTCTACTGAGATGTAACATTAACTAAGGTTGATCAGAAAAATGAAATTCAAAAGAAAATTGTATCGTATTAAATTCGTACAATATATCTTCACGATTTGGTGTCGAGCATTTCTTTTTACGTTAAACACTAATTTATATGAGAATTAGTAGCGCTTAGCGACGGTACGTTGTATGAGGTGAATTTGAAATTGATCGCGTGAAGATATATGGAGTGTAGTTGCAGAACATCCGTTTTCTCAACAAGTTTGTAAGCAGTTAGTATCCTCGGGAAAGTGTATTTAAAAAACTTTTAAGAGTTGTAAAAATCGAAAAAATAAAGTATTCCAGTTCATCTCAACCTGATCCGTGTTTTTGATCGAATATAATTCTTCGAGATGTTTGATAAATATCCCTACTGTTTCGGCTTATATAAATATTTGCGTCAGCCGCGTATCGAGTAACGATAATCAGAAACGGGAAAGGAGCAAAGTTCTTGCACAGTCGATGCTCAGCGCTCGGAATACTGAAACTTAAATAAACGCGGTAATTGTCTTTACTTTAGCATAACATCGATCGTCGTATTTGCATAATTTACTTCAGACGGGATCATTAATTTCGAAATCGCGACCGTTTAGAAAATTCTCAAGTGAAAATAATTCGAATCGAGAGATTAAACGCGTACAGTTACGAAGTTAAACAATGGCTAACACTATTAAACAATCGATACGAAAATTAATCGCCGGAATCTTAACAACGTGCATCGTAGGTTTTACTCTTTCTTGCTATGCGTATTGGGTGGAATTGGCGAAAGAAGAGGATTATTCCTACGAGCCGATGTGCGACATTAGCGAACATATTAGCTGCACCAAAGCGTTCCAGTCCGAGTAAGTATAAAAATTATTTAGGCACGAAATACATATTCTAATGCCATGCATTGAATAATATCGGGATACTGTTTGAATTATGAGTCATATAAAATATTTCATATCATTTCAAGTGACGAATATATTTAAATATCTAATCTCAAGTGTTCGATATCTTAAAAATTTGATTAAGGAGAATACTCTTGTAGGTTACATATTCATTTCATATGTAAACACTAAATAAACTCATTTGAAACGAAATACAATACCTGTGCTTGACTAGGAAAAAAATTGAGGCTCTAATCAATAAAGTGCAATTTTAACTTTAATAAATCGAACCTTTCAACATGTTGGCAAGTGAAAAATTTGACAGATGGAAAAGGACATGGTAGCACCATCTATAGTCTGCTTCTCACAAATTCAAAAAAGCAAGAAATAAGACGCTGAAGAGAGATGCCAAACCGCTCTCACTGCTCATCTTACCTAATCATTATAATTAAAAGATGTATTCATATTGAAATGTTAAGAATTTATCGAATGCTCCGATGATAAAATTTTCAGTGAAAAAACTTATTTAGAGGATTAATTTATGAATTTTTATTAACTTGATGTTCTTAACAATTTAAATTAAATTCTTTATAATAAGTTTCCCCTTTGAATCAACCCTTTCAGATAATAAATACTTAAAAGCAATCAACTTTATTACAGATATGGGAAGGGCTTTGGATTAATTCCAGAGACGTCGGTATTTTATATGCCAAATCCTATATACGGATTACTGTTTTACGCTTTGGTAGCAATATTGAGTACGTATTGCACTCCTATCTCAATAGATCGCATTCGCAGATCTGCGTCTTCCTTTTAAACAATATTTAATGACAATTTTTCAGGTGTCTCGAATAAATGGTCGGCTCTGGTCGTTGCATTAGCAACTATTTCAAACATCGGCACCATTTACCTGGCCAGGATTTTGTACTTAGAAAGAAATATCTGCATTGTTTGTGTTAGTCTCTATGTCGTAAATGTTGTCCTGTTAATACTCGCTATTAAAAAGCATCGAAGACTATCTGAAGATGGCACGAAAAAGAGAAAATTGAAGTGAACGTTTCAGAAATCTTTTGTTTTTAAATTATTTAATTGAAACCTAATAATAGATTAATCATTGTAAATTTGATCTATTTACATGTATACCGTTTGGTTTATTAAAATTTTCCGAAAAAATGCGTACTATTTAACACCCTCAATAAATGATCTTGAAGAATCGTGGTTGTATAAAATCGGAACACAATATTTAACAATCTATTACCTACTAAAATGAATTCGCAATCATCGCTGATTCATTCTTCTCTATCGGTCTGATATGTAATCTTGGGTTTGAATCAATAGAAACAATAATAAATCGTAGAAATAGAAAGCTGTTAGAATTAAAAAAAAGTTCATTATAAAATTACTAATAGTCCTTGAACAGATCTCTGTTACTCCTGCTAATACTAGCCAGGATCCCAGGACTTTTTAAGGGCGGCGTCTCGTCGAGTCGATTCAACTGTGAGTTAGACGTGTACGGTATCCTCGGCGGCGTTCCAGCCTCGACGTTGAAGCTCTTGCTGCGAAGCAACGAGGACTTGTAGGTCCTCTCCGGCTTGATCGGTGGCTGAATGTTGTCCTTCATCACTTTCGGCGACGTGACCGTGTTCTTGATCGAGATATTGATCATGCTTCCGTACTGCCGCGACTGACTCGTCGACGAAGGAGTGGAGGAAGTAGCCAGCTTTGAGACAGGCTGCTGCCGCTTCGATCGAGGATACTGTCCACCCGAATGGAGATTCCTGGGCAGGGTCTGCGCGCTCCTCAACTGTTCTTCCCTCTCGTGGTTGTTGGCTAGCCGACTGGTGGACTTGCTCAACCTGCCGAGCGAACTTGAAGCGACGCTATAGGCGCCGATTCGAGAAATTCACTTGTGCTCGTTCTTTTCCGAGCCATAACTACAATAGCGGTGCGGAGGCATGCTCGAGACTCCGTTTCATGCAGCCTTCACCCAGCACTCGAAGCGACCGACTTTCGTCAAGATATATACGTATGTACATGTACTTATACACATAATATGCGAACGCGATTTAACAAGAAGCGAAGCACACACCGGCTACGATTATGTAAATCCGTGTCAGATTACGTCTTGCGACGACTGTCTTTCGCAGTCAGGTAATGCGATATCCCATTTTTTAAACTAATTCGCGTGAACCGTTTAACTCTCCCAGGTACAGATTGTGCAATGGTACGAAATTTTCAAAAATATAACAAATATTGAAGAGCGTTCCCATACCTGGAAGAGTTCTCTCTTAGATCTTTAACGTGGTTACCTGTACTCGGTCTCGGCAACGTTTCTACGTAGCTTCCCGGATCTTCTCGAGTCTTGATATCCCTTTTCGCGACCATAAATGCTTCCACCGAATGGGTCCTCGCCAAGGTAGTACCTGTGCAACGGCGGGGTCGATTCGGTGCGTTGTTCTTGAACAGTATGCTCGGGTTTGATCGTTTTCGTCGTTTTGCTCGTATTGTTCATCGCACTGTTCCGGGGAGATCGTGGCGGTCTCTCCGGCGGCTTCTCTTCGAGGTCCAGAGGAATGTTCTTGTCGATCACGTTGTACTGCATGTACGTCGGACCGTTGTCGTCTGTCTGGGTCAGTTGAGACGTAGAACTGCTACTGGCGCGCTTGTTCTTCCTTTCACTGCTCGCCGAGCGCAGCTTCTCTACTAGTTTTCTGAACGATTCACCGATCTTGTATTTCGAGTGTCCGGAACCTTGAAAAAATACGGAAATGCGCTTCTATTGTAATTTTATCACTTAGTTTTGTTTTATAATATATATTTAATGGTTTCGTGATATTTATTTATTATATATTATTTTGAAAAAAATTACTACCTTTTGGTGGACGACTAGGAGTCGAGGAGGATGTCTCAGCTGATTTTTTACTAATCCTCGAATGCGATTCTCTTACGGGAGACGTAGATCGCGATCTCGATGTCGATTTCTTTCTGTTGTCCCGTTCAGCGACTGTCTGCTCTTGGTTACGACTCTCCCAGGTCCTCTGCACGACGTGAACCGGACTGGCAGTTCGTGCCGGCGCCGAATCGTTCAAGCTAGTCTTCTCCTCGGACCTTGTCCACTGAAACAGATCAGCACATTTTTTTATTTTCTGCCTCGCGGTTGTAATGTTAAATACGCGTACTTGTTCCTTCGATCTCCTCCGAACTGGCGGAGAAGGCGTGCGTCGTTCGAACGATTCTTGGTGCTCGCGACGTAAAACAGATTCGTAAGTCTTTGAGTATTCGACATGATTTCTCGGATGCTCTTGGCCGTATCCATTCGTGTGCACAGCTTCGACGTATTGCAAGGGAGAGCTCCTACCCACGTGGTTTTGCTTCTCTAGAGAACATATCGAACGTGACCTCGCGATTCAATGTTTTATATTTTAATTCTACGATACCTCTTCCTTGGTATCTCTCGGACCACTCGCTTATCCCGTGGAAGTAGCCCGAAGGAGATGTCGAATCTCGACCCGTGTTCCTTCGTTGTCGATTAGAATTAGTGTTTTGATAATCTCGCTCCCTGGGCCCGCACGATTTCATGGTAACGTTGATGTAACTAGTGTTGGTGCTAGTTGGCAAGGGAGAATCGTCAGCGTCGATGGATCCATGGGAGGAGCGCGACTCGCTGCCGAAATGGCTCTCCAGCCACTTGGACGTCTCGAATTTCCTCGCCTCATCCTCTTCTTCGAAGTCCAACGGTTTTTTCGTTAACACGTCCTTGCGAGCTGGAAAACTTTCTGGGAAGCCTGGAATAATATTCATACAATATGTTTCGATGCAAAAATTAAACGAATATAATTTTTCTTATTAATTCAGTCTTTTTATATTTAGGAAGAGATAGGTACCGGAATGTTTATGAAAACGAGTGGTACGCATCGCCGTTGGTGATGGTGTCCAGTCCCCAATTCGTTCGCCTTCGGTGGTCTCCGCGACGTAACGCATTTCCCGGGCGACCCTCTCGCCGCCCGATACGTAATCCACTACGTCCTCGTCCCTCTTCTTCACGAACCTCTGCGAACTCTCCTTCCTCTTCTCCGAGGCGTCGTCACCGTTCACGTCCTTCCCGTCATCGGGAACCTCGTCGTCCTTAATCTAACAAATATGCAAATATCGAAAAAAAATAAAAACGATCAAACTTACCTATCAGTAAAGATTATTATTATTGAAACACTGAAATATGCGATCAGTTTTTGATAGTTTTACATTTCCTGTACACATATGATAAAATTGTCTGATGAAATAACGACGAAGTATTTGTACGAACCTCCTCGTGCTCGACGGTGCGTTTTCTCTCGGTAACAATTAATCCATCGGGCTTGAGCTCCTTCCTCTCCAAGGTTTTCTCAGTGTCGATCACCTTGTTCGACTTGGTCGTGTGTTGAACGACCCTGGGACCCGTTTGGGACGCCAACTGCTTCGCGGATTCGGCGAGGGCCACTCTCAAATCACCGCGGTTGTTCCTCACCGCCGTCTGGTACGCCTGCGAATCAGCAGATCCAAACCAGTCTTACACCATAGTTTAGTCGGTATGGTCCAGCTGGTTATTATCCCAGGCGGTGAGGTGTTTCGAAATCCGGCGATAAACCGGATCATCCGGATCTCCGCGAACAAGTGGAAAGAAAGGTGTTTCTAACGAAGGTCACCCGGGCCACAACTTTCGTAAAACGGACCGAGTATTTTTATGCAAAACTTAATAAAAGGAAAAGAAGTGAGATAAAAGTTTATTCATGACGAATCACTTGATGACGACAGTAAATCGAATTAAAAGTGTGGTGCACATTTTTGATGAACGAAAAACGATTCCAGAGGAGAATTCGAACTACCTTGCCAACGAGGAGCGGACATTATCACAGTGCAAAGTCACATAACTACTGTAATCGGTGAAATTCGCGTGGCTCGCGATCGGAGCAAATCGAAGATAGAGCAGCGAGCGAGCTACTGTGACTGGGACCGTGGCATCTTGGTCGCCATTCGGTGAAGGGAGAGCAAAACCCGAGAGATCATCGACTTCTACTTCTTCTTCTTCTTTCGCCTCTCTCTCTCTCTTGCTCTCTCTCTCCTTTCTCTCTGTTCGTACCCCTACCTCGCGAGGCGTTCTCTTTTCTTCTCGTTCTTCTTCATCCAGAACGGGCCGGCCCTCTCCGTTTCCGAATCGTTCATGCGCGAACGCGTATACCTGTTGCCTGGCTTTCGCAATTCAGAAGCTGGTCTCGTCCGACCGAGCGTTCTCCTCTTCTGTCGTGGACCAGCGAGCCTCGTTCCATGCACCATCGACTTCGGGGAGGATCTCAAGCCGGGGTTCCACTTGACCAACCCGACTCCTCTCTGTATAAAAGCTAGAATCTCGTTCCTACCGCACTGTCACCCAACTGTTTTCTTAACAAGATCTTCCGTGTATTCAGATATTCAATCAAATGCATTCCATACGAACACATCGTTTACACACTTTTGATATTTTGTATAATTTTATGCAACGTTCGACCATTTTAAATACGCAATTTTTATGTTCTGTGATGAGACAGTGAAGAGATCGTTAAATAAAAGATCCACAGCGAGCTATGGTTAATACCAGGTAAGTGCACATCACCTTCACCGATCCTACAATCATCGTACTGAAATGTTACTGTGTCATAAGGAAGTCAGGCTCAACCTTTAACGATTCATCTTCTCGTTCTCGCAACGAGTTTTTACTGCAACGATCTTTAGAACTGGAATCGTCCGTGGGAATCTGACAGTCACGAAGGAAATGTCCACAGATTTATGATAAGCAGCGTGACAAATATGATCAGGCACACGGTGCACCTGTTGCGTGCCGCTACCATTTCCTTCCGCGTCTATCCGTGCGGACTTGATTAATCATCCGTTCGGCGTGGATGCCGCGTATAGGATATTTGATAGGCGGAAATGTGACGAGTTTTCGTGATCACATAAGTACAAAGAGATAGAGATAGAGATAGAGATAGAGAGAGACAGAGAGAGGGGAATTCGCTTTCTAGTGAAGGGTGACGTTAACGGTCACGTGTAAACGCGAGACGAAGCTTAACAAAGCCGTGAACCAGCAATGTGTGCAGAGGCCGAATTAACTGAGTCTACCTTGCAAGAAAGTCGATTGATACTTTTACGTGTAAACACGTAAATCAGGTGTACTCTTTTCTATTTACCCAGTTCGTTAACCATAAAACTGTAAATTTAAACAGCGTTTCATGTATCCAAGAGAAAGCCTAGTGTGACACACTTAAAAAGAAATCATCGTGCACAAGTCCACTAGAAGTCCGTGTCCTTCGAGAATCGTCGTACCCCGCCCAAGCCGGCCTTGACCAAATCAGAAACCAGAATCGCATCGGACGGTCTGTACAAAAATATTTTTCCCTGGGCCAGGAAAGGGAGCCGCCCGAAAAAGGGAGCATTCGTTTCGTTGCCTGCGCGTGGGATGAGCTGACCTTTCGCGTGGCGCTTACGAACCCGTGCCAAGAGAACGTGAACGCGTCGCGGCACGCGCAGGTGGAATTTAGGTGTGGGTGTGTCGCGTGGATATACCTCGTCCGAGATATCTCCCAGCTGTTGACGGTCCTCCGTTTCCAGCCTCTCCTCGATCTCTTCCCGGCTCCTCACCACCGTCTCGTTCAGCTCCTTCTGGACCACGCTTCCACTGTCCACGGGACTCTTCCCACCTGTTGGCCACTCGACCTGCTGCGGCTGGTCACCCGTGGTTCGTCTCTGAAAAAATAATATGATAAAACGAATTCGATCAGATCGAATTTGTAGTGGAAAAATAATTGGAATACGTACTTCTTGCGTGGTGTGTTCCTGCTGTTCGACATCCTCGGTGGTATTCGTAGTGACGAGGGGTCCTGAGTCGACGACGACCTCGCCATCCTCGAGGACTACCTGCCGTTTCACCCTCGTCTCTATCTGCCTGGTGGTGGTAATCTCCTTCTTCTTGCGGGTCTCCCATTCCTCTGAAATCGGAGCCACTATTTTCAGCCGCGGTACTGCGCGAGACCAATTGAGAAAAAAAGGCGGGGATAAAGAGCGATCCGTCTCGCGACGTCGAACAAGAATAAGAACCTCTGGCCGGCGTTAATACACACGGTAAACGTCCGCGAAACGCGAGTTCGAGACACGCCTTCCCTCTTATCTTGTATCTGGTTATTTGAATCGCGACTCGCATCACGGGCAAACAATGCATGACAATCGCGTTCCGCGGAATTACCTTCTTTGATCAAAGCCACAGAATTCTCAGGGTCGATCTGGAAAGTGAAAAGAATTCGTCGATCAGAATGATTGGTCCAGCGTTCAATAGACAATACGTTTACAAAAAAAGTGTATCCCGAAAATCATGCATGATTATAAGAACCGCTGTTTTTCAGAAATTCTGCTTCCGGATTTCGTTTTTGTATGAGAAACTCTGTAAGAATCGCGTAGCGGATATTGCAAAAAATGAACAACTACTTCTTCGTTGGACTGTTATTTATGAAGATACAAGAGATATCAATCTAGATTTCGTTTTACAAATGTTTCGTTTTGCATAAGAATCCGCAGTCTATTAATAAGAATAAGGACGGAGGTATGTGTGTTCACCAGAATCGGAGGATGGCTCGTTGGCGGTGGACGAGCCTCGTACCGACGTGTCGAAATCACCTCCATCATTCGATCATGCTGGTGAATCCTGACACTATTTAGAAATCCCAACTGGAATTATTGGTTCTCCCCTTAATCCGATTATCCGATCCTGCAATAATCCAACGAAATATATTTTTCCTCTCCAGATTAGAAGTCGAGCAATGAAATTAAGGATGTATTGGCTATACAGTCAATCCGAAAAGTTTATGTACCTTAGAAAAACGCATTTCCTATAATTAAAAAGAAATCAGACGTCGGAAGAATAATACTAATAATAAATAGCACCGTGCTAAAAAGTATAG